TAGCTTGCTTTCCGAAGTTATGGGTGCTCCATCAATTGAGTTTTTAAAGAAAAGACTGGACGGCCACTTGGAATGGTATAGAGTCTCGTGCTTGTTCAGGAGGTTGGATTGGAGGACCTCCGGTGCCCCTTCCAATCTGCTATTTTGTTAAAGACCCAGGAGTTGAATAAAATAATGCAGTTCTTGAATTTGGACTTGGATAGGGGACCATCTACCCTCAGCCAGCTGGTCATTTGATCAACATTATCATCTGCATAAGTAGAGATCCCTAGCAATGTCGTTCAAACCAGCTAGCTGATCATTTGAGAGCCAGAACACTCATTTCCTGCTTATGTATAACATATGTATGTTATGTGTAATATATAGGGTTATATGTGCACGAGAATGCACCCATATTTCAGGCCATGACCTCTGATTCAGCAGCGATTGTAACAGTCAAGACTAAAGCTAGCCATGATCCATAACTATGACGTACAGCAGGTTTTGTAAGAATACAGCCAGCTGTTTATTACAGTCTCAATATCTGAGGAGAGAACAATGCTTGACTGACAGTAAAATTCAGTGTATGTCCACTAACAAATATGTTTTGCTGTTTTTGAATGTCAGGTAAGCACCCACTGGATTGTAGCTTAAAATTCCCTATGGTTTTTACCTCAAATAAAACAAGCAACCTAGATTTATTATTCATTAAGTAAAAATAATCCCATTTCCTAAAATTACCTTCAAAGAAAATAGAATAGACAGAGAGAAAACTAGATTCTCATACAATAAGTTTTTTCTTCTAAGAAAGTCCCTGTAAACCACTTCAAGATGGCAATTTTTGAGGAAAAATAGCTACAAAGCACATTTCCTCTTGAAAACAGCTGTACTAAAAGTCAACGAATACTTTCATTCTTGTCCCAATGGATTATATGAAACCAAAGGACATTTATTACATTAATCACCAAGCAAGAAAGGTTGTGCTCAGTGGTGAAATCCAAATTTTTTTTCTATGTGTTCTGTGGGCGTGGCTTGGTTGGTGTGGTGTGGCTTGGTGGGCGGGGCTTGGTGGGCGTGGCAGAGGAAGGATACTGCAAAATCTCCATTCCCACCCCACTCCAGGGGAAGGATACTGCAAAATCCCCATTCCCTCCCCACTCCTAGGGGAAGGATATTGCAAAATCTCCATTCCCACCCCACTCTGGGGCCAGCCAGAGATAGTATTTGCCGGTTCTCTGAACTACTCAAAATTTTCGCTACCGGTTCTCCAGAACCTGTCAGAACTTGTTGGATTTCACCCATTTGTGCTATACTCACAACTGCTTTATGAACTGACAGTGTAAGCTCTCTCTTATATACCTCAATCTTTGGATCTCCTATGTTTTATTTCTCTCAGAATGTATTTTCACATCTCCTGTTACCCCATTCTATGGATAATATCCCATCCTCCTGCTAATGTAGATGATGATCCAAGAAATCCTGATAGATATAATTCTAACAAACAAAAAACCCAAACAATTCTAAAAAGAGCCTTGGTGGCGCAGCAGACTAAAGCACTGTTAAGTGCTTTAAGTAACACCAGCTGCCTGCAATTACTGCAAGTTCAAATCTCACCAGGCTCAAGGTTGACTCAGCCTTCCATCCTTTTGAGGTAGGTAAAATGAGGACCCGATTTGTGGGGGCAATAAGCTGACTTTGTATAAAAAAAAAAAAGGGAACACCGCTTTGGGGGGGGGGGCAAAAGCCCTACTAAGCAGGTATATACAAAAGTATGAAGGCTATTGCTTAACGCATTATAAGCCGCCCTGAGTCTCCGGAAAAGGGCGGCATATAAATCGAACTAATAAATAAACAATAATAAATAATTTGGTAACCACGTTAAGTCTGAAACATCAAAAGCAAAATAATTATTGTGCATTTTTAATTAAATTTCAAGATATCAGAGGTTTCTTATTTGTTTCAAGTCAGTAGAACCTGATGATCAGAAAATGTTCAGCTGCAACAAGAAGTCCTTTATAACTATTCCTATCTGAAAAGATCCAATAATCATCTGAAATTGGCAGAGGCTTTATGGAAAATGACTTAAGGGAGTTGCAACCTGCAGTTCAGTAAAACAATTATTCAGCTTCAGCAGCCCCTAACTGAAAGTAATTTCATCTAGCTCCTAAAATGCTATCCAGTTTTAATTACTTCACATTAATTAATTGTATATACTTCTGAGGATGATGTAATTTCCTGATTATACCCACCACATGGACCTAACCTCTTACACCTAGACGGTAACGACTTTAACATATGGCCCCACAATCAATATTTGGTTTGGGCGATGTGGCAACGAACAACTAAAACCTTTTAAACTATGACCTGATAGGCAGGATAAACTTAAGAGAAGCCAGGGAAGGTAATACTTTTGCTTTACAGATTACAATCCATCAAGCCTATCGCTTTGAACAGCAATTGTAAAAAAAACAATTAGTCTGAAGCTAAGCTAATTCTCCTGTGGTTTTAATCTTTGGATGTAGATTGAAAACCTATTGCTTCACTATCTGTGCTCTCATATTTTCTTGACTTTTTGGGATATGATTACATGATGCTTCCAGCAGACATTATTTGATATTACAACTAATACGAATCTGGACACAGTAAATCAGACTGTGGTTTGATTTATTCTATTATCTATTCTTTTTGTAGTGGCCTGATTTATTCTATGAAAATGGAAGGTAGCCATTTCAGACACACTCAAAGGGAAAAGTGAAAGCCATAGAACAGGGATGTCAAACTTGATTTCATTGAGGGCCGCATCAGGGTTTTGTTTGCCCTCAGGGGTCCAAGGTGGGCGTGGCCAGGATGGGTGTGGCCAGCTCAACATCACTTTTGTTGGGAGGCACCTGTGGTGGCCCAAGTCGTCTGCTAACAAAAATGGGCTCCCGAGCTCCGTTTTTGGCTGTGACAGGCTCCTGCAACCCTCTGCCAGCGAAAACGGTGCTTGGGACAGCCGCACGTGGCCTTCCCGAGCTCCATTTTTGCTGGCAGAGGCACCGTGGGCTGGTCCTACTCTGTTCCCAGATCTAAGCACCCCGCGGGTCGGATCCTGCCCACGGGCCTCGAGTTTGACATCCCTGCCATAGAAAGAAAACAAATGGGATTGGTAAACATAGTCAGAAAATTCCTTGCTAGGAACTGTGCAATCTAATATTAAGAATAGGTCTAAAATCCTATCCAGGACTATGTATGTTTAGATTTAAAAGCATACTACAGGTATGTATCAGTCAAGTCGGCCAGGTCAGGAGACAGAAACTATAAGAACGATGGAATTCCACTTTATTATTAAAGCGTATAGTAATATAATCTTAAAGGCCTAGCAAAGATTATATTTTCCTGATCTTGTACCAAAGAGAATCAAGGCTGGTCAATATTCAGTTTCTTTTTCACTCCCCCTTACCTTTTGGGGCTAAGCTATGTCTATTTAATAGTTGCTGATACCTTCTTCAAGGCCAACTCAGTACAGTTAGTCCTCAACGTACGACCACAATTAAGCTCAAAATTTCGGCTGCTAAGCAAGACAGTTGTTAAGTGAGTTTTGCCCCATTTTATGATCTTTCTTAACTATTAAGCGAAGCACTGCAGTTGTTAAATGAATCTGGCTTCCCCAGTTGCTTGTCAGAAGGTTGTAAAAGGTGATCACATGACCTTTTGATCCTTGTCATTGCAACCATCATAAATACATGCCAGTTGCCAGGCATCCAAATTTTGATGATGTTACCACAGGGGTGCTGCAACTGTCGTAAGTGTCAAAAGTGTCACAAGTCACTTTTTTTTTGCTGTTGTAACTTTGAAAGGTCACTAATCAAATGGTTGTAAATTGAGGACTACCTGTCCTCTTTTACAGTCTCCCATAATAAAAGATTTAGGGGATTTTTCATATATCTAACTTAGCCAAAATTATTTTGCAGCTGGTTGGTTTAAGCACTGAAACAACTTGTAAAGGTTCTCTGAAGATTTATTCAGTTCAGATGTGTTTTGATTATTTATGGATTTCACTATAAATTTTCATTTGCTTCTTGCCTCTAAAGCAAAAGAGTAAACTGCTATAATTTGGTGGGATGTCCGTAAGGACGTCAACAACTAAAAGTGATTACCTGTTCTAAAATGAAAATGGCATATACCATATTTTTGGAGTATAAGAGACATCTTAGTATTTGGGGAGGAAAATAGGGGGGAAAAATTCTGCCTACCAGATATTCATCTGGCTAGCGTCCTTGCGTGGTCAGCTTCAGCACATTAATTTGCTTGCTGGTTTTGAGGTTGGGGCTAAAAAAACAGCTTCTAAAACACAGCTGATCATCGGAGGGAGCAGCAATTAGAAAAGCAGGCAAAGCACGGAAGATTGCTTCACTTGCGTTGGGGCTGAAAGACAGCTTCAAAAGCACAGCTGATCGTTGGAGGGAGCTCCAGTGACTAAAGCAAACGAAGCACAGAAGGGGTAAGAGAAGGCAGCAGCTGCTCTTGGTAACCATTTTGGGCACCGCGCGTCACATTTTCAGCCTCTAAACACATTGTGTTTTCGAATGGCGATTGGAGGCGATGTGCTTTGGCAATCCCCGCAGCCTTGAAGGGCTCTCAAACGGAGCATTTGGTGGCTGAAAACACGACATGTGGAGCCCCAAAACACAAGCCATTGTCGGTAGCAATCTCTGCAGGCAGAAAGAGGTCACGCGGAGGCCGAAGGGTAGGGGCCGGCAAGTGGGCGGGGTTACATTCGGAATATAACACGCACCCAAATTTTCAGCCTCTTTTAGGAGGGAAAAAAGTGTGTCTTATACTCCCAGAAAAATACGGTAAATGTAGCATATAAACAAACACATTCTGGTAGGGAGAACTTCCACTATCTCGGAAGACTAAATCTCTGGTCCTGGTGACTGACCCTGACTGGATCCTGCAACATTATCCTGGGACACGTATTATTTGCCTTCATTCACATAAACAAAGCTTACAGAAATGCAAACCAAATATCATCTTACCATATACAAGTCTTTGCGGAGGCCTAGGTACTTTCCATTGCCACAGCCAACATCAGCCACAACAGCCCCACGTGGCAAGCCTTTAAGGAACTCGACCACTTGTGGCCACGGACTATGCCTGGTGTTGCTGAAATGTCTGGCAATGTCTTCATACACTTCGTGGACATACTTCTGTTCTAGCACAGAGGCGTCTTTGTTGCTATTGTGAAACGAGGGCGCCCTCTCTTTATGCTGACTGTCGCATACGGAAGGAAATGCTGGAGGAAGGAGATTGGGAGAAGAAAGGTAGAAGATAGGTTTATTTTTAATTGCTAAGTTTTAGACCCAGAACAATCTTTTTGTTTTTTTTAACGGAGAGAATACAGACAGTCGCAAATCGAACTGCAAATTTCAATGTTAATTTTTATTGCAAAATTTAATTACAGATAGCCCTGGGTTAACAACAGCTATTGTTGGGACCGGACTTTATGTTGCTGAGTGATGCATTTGTAAAGCGTGATATCACATGATCATGCTGCTTTGCAAAGAAATTAAGGCATTGCTGACATTAAGTGAATCCTGCACTGTTGGTAAGTGAGGATGTCATGTGGTTGCCTTTTGCAACCTCCTGCTGTCTTCTACGAGCTTTGCTCGTAGGAACCCAGAAAAGACGTCATAAATTGTGATCACATGACTGCAGGACACTGCAACCAATATATGTACGAGAACCAGTTGTAACTACCAATTATTCAGCACCACAATAAATTTGAACAGTTGTTAAGAGAGGCTCACCCATAGTTCAATAATAAAAATGCCAGCCCCCAGTCTTTGCTTGCTTGCTTGCTTGCTTGCTTGCTTGCTTGCTTGCTTGCTTGCTTGCTTGCTTGCTTGCTTGCTTGCTTGCTTGCTTATTTATTTATTTATTTATTTATTTATTTATTTATTTATTTATTTATTTATTTATTTAAATTTGTATATTGCCCTTCTCCAGCAGGACTCAGGGCGGTGAACAGCCAGAATAAAATAGAACATACAAAATTTTAAAACAGTTTAAAAATAATTAAATATTTTTGGCCGCAATTTAAAACAACCCAATTAAAATCATTTAAATTTAACCAAAACAGTGGGATCAAGCCAGCCGGCTAGGTGAAATAAATAAATTTTCAGGGCCTGACGAAAAGTCCGGAGGTCTGGTATTGTACGTATCTCTGGGGGGAGGTTGTTTCAGAGGGCGGGCGCCGCCACAGAGAAGGCTCTCCCCCTGGGGGTCACCAGCTGACACTGTCTGGCGGACAGCACCCTGAGGAGGCCCTCTCTGTGCAAGCGTACAGGCCGGTCGGAGGCTATTGGTGGCAGAAGGCAGTCTTGTAAATACCCCAGCCCTAAGCCATGGAGCGCTTTAAAGGTGGTCACCAATACCTTGAAGCGCACCAGGAAGACCACTGGGAGCCAGTGCAGCTCGTGGAGGAGAGGTGTCACATGGGAGCGCCTCGTCACTCCCATAATCCCATAGTCTGTTATGAACAGACCTCCTCCTCTTAAATTAGAAATTTTGCCATGTTCAAAAGGTAGTCATCACTAACTGGAACATTATGAAACAGGAATGGAGTAAGCAACTAGTCTGTAGATATTTCTCTTGGCAGCTACCAAACTTCCTGTCCCACCTAATAGTCTTTTATAAGTTAAACACAATATATATACTTTTAGCCAACGGGCTAAAAACTTTTTATTTGCCTCTGAACCTCAAATAGATGTCTTAGGCATTTTTAGAAACTGAAAATATTGCAGGACATACAAATCTAGGAGACGAAGAGGAAATTAGAGAATAATATCACCAGATCGTTATTCTGGGTAATTGGTAATGAAACTGACCACACCTTTTAGGGAAAGTGCCTACAATATGCTCCCAAAATTAGAAATATGCTTAGCCCTGCTATAAGGGTAAATAAGTGATTTACTGTGAATTAGTTGCAATGAAAATCATATTCCAGGAATAATATGCAGTAAATGGTATGGCCAGGATCCAATCTATCCAAGCATTTCTCTATTAATATAGTAACAAATAAAAATGTCAGGCTGGTGGCATTCACACATTTATCCAGCCAACAATATGGACGAAGCTTGTCATTATGTTCCTCAAGGATATTTTTCAACTTCTCAGCTGATATTTTTCAACTTCTTAGACTACAACTCTAGTATCTTCTGTGGTTTCCCTGCCCAAAGACTAGACAGATCCAACTTTTTAGCCTGTTTGAAAATGGCCAACGTTAGTTTGGTGCTGCCATCTACTGGACACTTGTATTTTGGAGCTCCCTCCTCTTTTCTACTTCCAGATCCGTGTCATCTTCTAGCACAGGGGTCAGCAACCTGCGGCTCTGGAGCCGCATGTGGCTCTTTCATCCCTCTGCTGCAGCTCCCTGTCACTCAAAATATGCATCACAACCGCCAATGTGTGACACCCGCCAGCATGTGATTTATTGAGCTTTTCAACCCCCGGTAGGCCAACCATGGAAAAATCCAAGAAAAGAAAAGCTTCGGAAGAAAACAGAACATTTAATTCAACTACATATGTTGAATTTTGTGGTCGCTCAAGAAATAGTCAGGCACGGGAAGAGTTTTGTGGCTCCCGGTGTTTTCTTTTCTGTGGGAAATGGGTCCAAATGGCTCTTTGAGTGTTTAAGGTTGCCGACCCCTGTTCTAGCACCTTAGAACCTTCTGGAATGGCCTTTCTGGAGACATCAAAGGGTTTCATTTGAAGAGAAGCCCCTTCTCTGAGAGCCCAAAGAATCCCCTCTGCCTGCCTGTTTATTTTCTCTGATTCCTAGCATTTATAAATGTCAAAATTAATCATAGTTTAGTTACCCATGCACTCATTTTTTTTAAAAGAAAAGTTAATTAGAAAAAGTGGTCACTGAGATAAGGGAATTATTTATTTCTTGCATTTCATCCAAGGTTTTCAGAGCTTTTAGACTGATCAAAACAGAAGGAAGAGAGAAAGCCACAATGAAGGCAAACCATGTTTTTCTTTGCTTTTTGTAACCTGGTACTAAATCAGCCATGTTAGGATTTTAACACCCAGAATTCCTAGTCAGTTTATACAAGGCCAAACAACAGAGACAGAATTATGTGGAGAAAAAGCTGACCTTTATTGTCTAGGCTAATAATTATGTATAATGACACCACAGTGACACCAGTCTTAATGGCCCAGACTCTATACAGTGTTTTTCAACATAAACCATTTATTTCCATACAAAATTTTTCATCAGTAGCCTAATGTACCATCCCAAAAATAAACATAAGAAATCTGGCTGTGAATCTCATGTACATAATTTGATAGAGGAAAACAAAGCTATTATCTCGAGACACTTGTTACAAGTGACCATGCTAAACAAACTGTGTTTTGTTTTTTTTTTACATTCATATAGCATCCATTTAACTTCTATTATAGGGAGTTAATATACTGGAAAGCAAAGTACCAACTTATAGCCTCATCTACATTTCTTGGAAATAGAAAGGATGGAGAGTTGGCCTTTCAGCTTTCTTGGAAATGAGCAGAAAAAGGGCAGTGGAAACCTTCTGGGGGTGATGCTTGGTAATTTCCCTCAAGGTAGCTGCCCAGGCTGGCTAGGGAATTCTGGGAATTGAAGTCCATAATCTTAAAGCAAGTTCGGAGATCCCTCCCTGACAGCCTTTCTCTGAGAACATTTACAACAGTGTTTCTCAACCTTGGCAAAATGAAGACGTCTGGACTTCAACTCCCAGAATTCTCTAGCTGACTTGACTGGCTGGGGAATTCTGGGAGTTGAAGCCCTGATATCTTCACCTTGCCAAGGTTGAGAATACCAATATTTAACTTATACACCACTTTACAGCCCTCTCTAAGCAGTTTACAGAGTCAGCCTATTGCCCCCCAACAATTTTGGGTCCTCATTTTACCGACCTTGGAAGGATGGAAGGCTGAGTCAACCCTGAGCCTGGTGAGATTTGAACTGCCAAATTGCAGGCAGCCGGCAGGCAGCAGAAGTATTGATTTACAATAGATTCTCCTTTATACAGGTAGTCCTCGAGTTATGGCCATAATGGTGCCTGTCCATTTCGATCATAAGTCATAACCCATTGTTTGCTATGGCATGGCTTTGCAAAAACTAGTGGTAAATGCCAATTTTCAGTAAAACCCTCATAAAATGTGATCACGTGACCTTGGATGCTGCAAACATCCATAAATGACGCCACATTGCTGAGCAATGTGCCATCACTTAACCACTTGGGGGGCGGCGGGAAAGGAGCAACCATCGGAACCTCAGACCTGGGTCATGAGTTCCCCTTTATCAAATAGGTTGTAACTTTGTTAAGCGAACAGCCACAAATTGAGGACTTCCTACATATTCACGATAAATTAGAGAGATTAAAATGCTGAAACCAAAATTATGCGTTCTAGTTCATTCTTAGGTATGGAAGCTAGCTGCGTGACTTTGGGCCAGGTGCTCTCTCTCTCTCTCAGACCAACCCATCCCATAAAGTTGCCATTATGAGGAAAATACACAGCCTTAGGAACGCCATTTTGAGTTGTAAAAATAAAAAAAAAAAACAAGATATAAATTTAATAATATGTAAAAATTCTCATAATTCCAAATGAGTCCATCAGGACAAAGAGCGTAGGAACCCCCGAGCTAAGAACTAATAAAATAGAAAAGTAGCTTTCTAGTTCTCCAGAATTTTAGAACTCTTGGCCTTTTGTAAGGTATTAAAAGTTCTGAATGTTCCCTCAGGCGTTATCAGCTGATGGAATTTTAAACCAGCTTTGTGGTAGATCTGTCTTGTTCTTATCATCACTGATTGAAAAAGGAATGATGACTTTTAGGCCCTGGATCTGTATTATGTTATTACTGAACTCTTCAGTTACTATTTTGGGTAATTATTTTAATAATCATGTTGTTTTATTTTAACCCTCTGCAGGCTGTTTAAAGCAGGGGTGTCAAACTCGTGTCGTCATGTTGTTGTCAAGTGGCGTATCATGACTTTTCCTCCCTTCACTAAAATGGGGGTGGGCGTGGCCAGCGCGTGACGCATCCGGCCTGTAGGCCGCGAGTTTGACACCCCTGGTATAAAATCACCTCTGAGGTGGATGACTATATAGGTAGCATACTGTAGTAAAGATAGGCTATGATGTAACTCACAAATAATCAGACATGTCTTAATTCAGTATCAATTCTATGATTAGATGGGTGGAATTTTTTTAAATAAAATTCTGCAATAGGGACACATACTTTCTGTTTTCGAAAGTTAAAATGATTACTGAAAATCACACTGTTTTGAAAAAGATTCCCACTGAAAGAGGCTCAAATTGCATGCAGCACAATACTTACAGCAGCAACAAGGAGTTCTCTTTATTTTCCGGAAAGTGAAAGATATTCTCTTTCCCCTTTTGTTTAAGGTTAACTTTCTGATGTCAGCAGTGATGCTTCCAACATTCTCTCCTTCTGATGCTTGAACAACGTCAAATTTCCTTGGTGTAATGCTTTAAAATAAAACAGAGGTCAGGATTTCACTCCCTTTTTTATATTTCATAAATATCACATTTTGGCACACATGTTTTAAGCTAGAGTGTAAAACATTGAAGAATATGACTATTCAGAACAATTTCAGCAAAGACAGAATCTTTTCTATCTACCACTAATTCTTCCTCCCAATTAATTCAGGTGGTCAGCCCAAACAAGAATAATGACAGAAAGGGAATGATAGCTAAGTAAATCATAACAAAACCTTTGATCCCATTTGTATACAGAAGTAGCAGAAAAATCCACTTATCATACTATAACAAGGACAAAATAGGGAATATTTAGATTTAGATTTCAGAGCTTGATATTAAATAGAAGAAAAGTGTTACAACAAAAGGGATGTGCAAAACCCCATTAAATTCAAGAAAAAAAAGTTCTGAAAAACTTCATAATCTGTTCCTGAATCTTTGAGCCTTCCATATCCCATATAACAATAAAACATTTAACTCAAGTAAAACAAATGTTAATTAAAAATATACAATAACTAGCTGGACGCCCGTGCTTCACTACAAAACTATATGATCGGGCGTGATAAATTGACACTTAAAGCCTGAAACTTAATGTAGAATGTGTAACTCCGTAGCATCAGAGCATGTTAATCTAAGGCAACTGGCAGTTGGAACAGAGTTCTTTTCAGGTGGGGAGGGGGTGTAGAAAGTCTAGCTCCTTAGCATCAGAGCTTGTGAATATAATACTGTATATGAAATACTAATGATCTGATGGTTATTTCGAAAAATCCTTTCTTAGCGAGAACCTAGAAGCCAAGAGGAACATACGTGCCAAATTTCAAGTTTGTAGGCTTTACCGTTCTGGAAATTTCATGATGAGTGAGTGGTATCTTTTATATATAGATAACATATATTAACAAAGATATGTATAGGATATAGAAATAGCTAAACATAACAGAAGGAGAATACAAAATCATATCCAGAAATGGTAAGAAGTCTGTCAAAAAAAAAAAGTTAAAGCTCTGAAAAAGTTAAAGCTTGCAAGTGATACCAAAATCAAAAAGACATATTATTTGGGTATATTAGAAATAGAAAGAAAACGAAAAAAGAGTACAGGACCACTACAAGGAGAAAATGGTGAAATGGTAATAGGTGATGATAAGAAGGCTGAACTTCATGTAACTCAAGAATATTTTATCCTTGTTTTGCATCTGTCTTCTCAGAAGGAAAACGAAGCTGTACCAGTTCAGGGTGATGTCAGTCAAGGAAGGAACCATGGCTTGATATTAATAAGGAAAAGATAAGAGAGAAATTAGCTAACTGAAATTAATTTAAGTAGAACTAGAAGGAATAGGTCCTAGGACAGGGGTCTCCAACCTTGGCAACTTTAAGACTTGTGGACTTCAATTCCCAGAATTTGCTGGCTGAGGAATCCTGGGAGTTGGAAATCCACAAGCCTTAAAGTTGCCAAGGTTGGAGACCCCTGTCCTAGGATAATGAAGGAGATAATCACAGAATCATTCTTGAAATCCCAATCTTTGAAAAAGTGAAGGAGGAAGAGTTGGGAAACAACAGTTGTGTTACTTTTTTATCTATATTGGGCATGATCTTCAAAAACATTATCAAAGCTGCACAGCTATGGAGATTTGGATAAGCATGCTTCAATTAACAGGGTTTTGTAACAAACAAATCATTCTGGACTAATCTTATCTCCTTTAATAGAGATACTAGCTTAGGAGAAGGCGAAGACTGAGACTAATATATCACACAGTCTTTGACAGAGTGCTTAATGACACTCTCCATTATATGGTAAAATGATATTACTGCTGGATGGACTCATATAAGATATTATGATGTTAAAATATATATTACGCATAAAATTGTATGTATTATACAATAATACCAGGGGTGGGTTCTAAAATTTTTTACTACCGGTTCTGTGGGCGTGGCTTATTTTGTGGGCGTAGCTTGATGGTCTTGTGACAATTCTTTAGGATTTAGTAGAGGTACTGGTCTATCAGGCTTTTAACTGCTTGCAGAGCTGTACCGGTCTACTCATTTGTTTTTGCAGGCACCAGTCTACTAATTTGTTTTTGGAGTCATCGGTCTACCAGCACACTGCCTTTTAACACTGATCAGCTGTAGGGCGGCCCTTTGAAGCCCCCCCGACAAGAGTTTAAACAGCTTTTTTCCTTCTAGCAGATCAGCTGGGACTCAGGAGGCAGCAATAGATTGGGGGTGGGGCCAAATAAAAGGTAAGAATAACGTGGGGGGGGCGGGGGGGGCGGGGGAGGCAGAACTGATTCAGTGAAGTTATATTGTCACAGCTACCAGCTCGGTGGAACCGGGCCGAACTGGGAGGAACCCACCACTGAATAATACCTATTTTTCTACCTGATGACAATAAATAATAATAATAATAATCCGATATTGCACATTTCATTAAGAGCATTCAGGGCTTTGAAAGCTCTGTAATATAAAAAAGCCTTCGAGAGGATCATTCCCCAGAGCAGTGGAAATCTTACATTCTGTAAGACATGGAAGATGGATGATTCTAAAGGGGTTTTCAAGTAGCGTCTGCTAAGACCAATATTAACTTCAAAAAGAAGTGATCTACTCACAATAAGGAGTCACAGAAAGCCCCAAACACACACTCTCTCTGCCCTGTTCTCTCTGCCCTTTCAATAGGTCCAACGCATATATATACCACAATGTTGTTATTGCGTGGTGGTTACAGTGCAGTATTCTGCCCACAGTCTGGAGTTTGATGCTGATGGGGGCTCAAGGTTGACATAGCCATCCACCCTTCCGAAGTTGGAAAGATGAGGACCCAGGTGGTTGGGAGCAATATACATACAGGTAGTCCTCAATCTACGACCACAATTTAGGTTGCTAAGTGAGAAATTTGTTCAGTGAGGTTTGCGCCATTTTACGACTTTTCTCGCCCCATTTGTTAAGTGAATCACTGCAGTTCTTAAATTAGTAACACGGTTGTTAAGTGAATCTGGTTTCGCCATTGACTTTGCTTGTCAGAAGGAGGGCAAAAGGGTATCACATGACTCTGGGACACTGCAAACGTCATAAATGTGAGGCAGTTGTCAAGTATCCAAATGTAAACCACGTGACCATGGGGATGCTGCAAAGGTCATAAGTATGAACTATGGTCATAGGTCACTTTTTTCAGTGCCGTTGTAACTTTGAAGGATCATTAAATGAACTGTTGTAAGGCGAGAACTATCCGTATAATGTTTCGACATTGTAAACCACCCAGAGAGTGCCGCAAAGTGGTATAGGGCAATACACATGCCTAAATTCTCTTGCTATTGGTGTTAATGCTAGCCTTAGGGAGCACCAAACATGTGCATCAAAATAAGATAAGTGTGTCAGTCCTGCCTCAGCTGGATCGCTCCCTTAGAAAAGAAAGACCCTCGACTCCATTTGGTTTGAAGCAGAGGTGGGTTTCAGCAGGTTCTGACCAGTTCTGGAGAACAGGTAGCAGAAATTTTGAGTAGTTCGGAGAATCGGTAGTAAAAATTCTGACTGGCCCCACCCCCATCTATTCTCTGCCTCCCAAGTCCCAGCTGATCGGGAGGAAATGGGGATTTTGCAGTAACCTTCCCCTAGACTGGGATGGGAATGGAGATTTTACAGTATCTTTTCCCTGCCACACCCACCAAGCCATGCCCACCAAGCCATGCCACACCCACCAAGCCACGCCCACCAAGCCATGCCATGCCCACCAAGCCACACCCATAGAACCGGTAGTAAAAAAAATTGAAACCCACCACTGGTTTGAAGTGATATTTTTTTTTTTTACTAAAGGGTGCTGTTTGCAGTAGAGTCAGGCTAGAACTAAATTTCCCACACGAAAGAATACAGGCTTTTCCCCTCAATCCGTCCCTCCCCTTTTGACCAGTCTATTTCCAGTCAGTGGGTGGATGTTTAGGTGTTTTAGGAACGTTCAGTATTTGGAGCAATCAGCATTCCATTCCCGATAGTCTCCAGGCTTCTTGATGTCCTTGAAGACTGGCACAAACTGGTTCAAAACATCCCTGGTCTTCCTTAACTGTCATTCCCCCTAGTTTCCCAGTGCTGTCGAGCCGTTCCCCGCTCGCCACCATGGGGAATCAAGCAGAACTCACCAGATGGGCCATCGCGTTCTGGAAACCATGATTGTGGGCTGCGAGAGGGAGGGGGCGTGAATAATGTATACACGGTGGAGGGGGTGTTAGGTTTCAGTAGGCGGGCGGTCACCTCGCGGCCGGGATAGGGCCCTTTAAGATGTCTGGATGATGAGACGGGCTGCAGGGAGTGGTTGTGGGGATTGGATAATTGTACGGCGCGCATATTTAAACAGAGCTGTTTCCTGGAAGCTCTAACGCCGACTTTGTGTTATCAATCCTTGAACTCAGCTTTGATCCCTGTGAACCTGGCGAAGAATAAACCAGACACCTGTTTAAAGCAGATTTCGTGCAGCGTGGTTTGTGAGTGCCCAGGATTCGTAGCAGGGTCTGAGAAAAGTCGGCGTTTCCCTACTTTCCGCCGCCCTGAGTAGCCACGACGCAGACGGGATGGCGGAGGGTGTAACGACGGAGGTGCCGGTCGCCGCGGCTGAAGGAGAGGATACCACTGCCGTCCTGGAGACGCTGGGCGTGCAGAGCAGCAGCGGGACGCCGGTAGTCCGTCCGAAGGAGGTGAAAGCCGCAGTCGGTGAGCTCGGGTGAGGCGCAAGACCCCGAGTTGCCGGGCGGTACGAAGAGTGTGGCAGGTGACTGGTGGCAGAGCTCGGCTATTACCGGCTCAGTTACCCCCGGCTCACAACCCCCTCTCAAAGCTCCAACCCCTTTCCAAGGTTGGAGAGAACGGAAGTGGGTTGACGACGACGAGAACGAGTGGAGCCGCTCCTCTGGACTCGGAGCCTCCACGTTGGATGTTTTGCGGGAGAAGTTCGGGGAGGCCAGCTTTCGAGACGCGGCTTCCTGGCAACCCTGGTTGAGTGGAGCTGGGTCTGC